GACATCTCGAAGAAATTCATTTCATATTGTATGGGATGGGTTTAACCACCCAGTAGTTTATTGTGTTCTGAATTTATTTACAGAAGGGGAATTTAGGTAGCCTAAAGGTTGAAGCGTTTGCTCGCCACGCCGAAGACCTGGGGTCGATTCCCCACAAATGGGTACAAAGCCCAATTCTAGTGTCCCCCGCCGTGATATTGCTGGAATATTGCTAAAAGCGGCGTAAAATTAAACTCACTCACTCTTTGCAGAGGCTTGTTACACAAGGGATATACAAACCAGGATAGACTTCATCAGGTTCCGGAAGTCGTTACGAAACTTCCCATTGATGTGCACTATAATCTCAGAATTAAAGTTGAATTAAGTACAAATCAATCCACTCGAGTAACAAGGAACCTTTAATTGCATTTAGAGCCGAAAGGGGTCTGGGAATGGGCGTCTTGAACTGGGAAGAGGATGAGCATGAGATTGAAGACTGTTTTGTAAAAACATATATATGTTCTGGGGTCTGTAAAAGAGATTAATGGTATTATGAATAATGATTATTATGACCCCCACCCCCATTCCTTTTTCTCCCCCCCCTCTCTCTCTCTCTCTCTCTCAATCTAAATCTCTAAATCTATGTATTAAGACGCTACAAACCCTATACACAGCCGTAAAGTAAGAGGCTTGATAGAGACAATGTTACCTGCCCGAAATGTTTCGAAAATCCCCAAAGGTATTGATAAAGAACAAATGCGTGGTACATTCGCTGTCTTAACCAACAGATAATAGCTATAAAAATGTTTTGACTTGAGTTTATGATGCAATTATATATTTCTTAACGTTTTACGGTCTTTTTTCATAATTCGCCAGTGTAGAGACAGAAGAGAGAGTAAATTTTCTTCCTGATATGAGAGATAGTATTTGCTTATGATCGCAGCAATCCTGGCCGGAGAATGTCAGCCCGCGTTGATTAATTTTACAGTTGTTGTGCCGAAGTACAACATCAACACACTTTGAAAGACCTGCTGTTACTTTTCCAAAATTACCATCAAAGTAAATATGTTCTCCAATGTTACGTGGCTTGCATATCTGTACTTTCGGCAGAATTGGAAAGTAAAAAATCTTAAAATGACGTTATGACTCAAGAACCGCTCCCTCCATGTAGCGCACTCCCTAGCATACTACTTGAAGCACAACTGGTTACAGGGGTGTGTAATGAAAAGAACCTTGTTTGAACACCGGGATGCACTTTAATGAGTGAACTATGGTCGTTATTGTAAATTCATCAGCGTCTCCATTGAAGCTTTTGTACCCAAAATACATTCACAAGGGAAAAAGTGTTTCCTAAAATAGAAATTCGTCATACTGTTCGGGCAAGGATATCGGCACGGTGTAGGTCTGGGGAACTCTTCATTGGAAAGGCAATGTAAGCCTGCTCACATGCAGGAGAGGTGCCACGGTGACTCATGGCGTCTTTTTCAGAATAAGATAGATAAAATGTTTGTCACTTTTTATGTCAAAGATAACTTTTTGGGGCATGGCACATCCATCAAACAAACAATGACTGGGTTAAACTACGGGAGGTCTGAGTTTTAATTCGCATCTTCAAAAATTTCTTTTACACTTAACTTTTAACAGCTTAAAAAATCTGTATATTAGGTGTCTAGCATACATTTTGTATGACAGTACACTCCTGACAACAGATTATTGTGGGATATATGCATTGTCTGTTAAAGAAATTACTTTTCAAGCAGTAGATAGTTGAGGGTAAATACGATGCCGTAACAGCTACGACATCAACAGATGTTCTACGTAATGCCGTATCAGGTTACAGACGGTGCCATGTCTCTTTTACATATCCTGAAACAAATATATCCCAAACACGCTTTAGTATTTTGACAAGTCTATATTTCTTCAGTAAGGCTCAGGGGCGGTGTTGTAGCCTGGTGGTTCAAGCGTTCGCACGTCTCGCCGGAGGCCCGGGTTCGATTTCCTACATGGGTACAATGTGTGAAGCCCATTTTTGGTGTACCCGCCGTGATACTGTTGGAGTATTGCTAAAAGCGGCTAAAACCCAACTCACTCACTCAGTTAAGGCTCAAACTGAAGAGATTCTCGGGGCTCAATTACCTTTATCGTACACATGAATTGCAAATGTAAACCAATAAATCAAAACAGGTGATATATGTAGAGAAAACTGTGCCCGAGAAATATCTTTATCCTGGAACTGATTATATATATTCCAATTCCTGATAAAGATAGTTCTCGGACACAGTTTTCTCAGAAGTGAGATAGGACGTTTTAGCAGTTACTTCTGAAATAGAAAATGAGAAAGGAACACTACGCTTTTCCCTTTCCCCACAAACACAACCGTGCAAACATTGACCTTGGTGGAGACAAACCAGGGGCGAATCAGGATTCGAACCCGCGACCCGACTTGTTAGCGTATGGTCCGACTGCTTAGAACATGGCTAATTGTAGACTGCTCATTGTGTTCTTATTACCCATCAATCACTATTATGCTACAAGGGAATTTCAGCAGCAAACCAGCCTCTGATGCCACTGTATTCGACGTGTTTGATGGAACGCTTCCTGAAACTATCTTGGCTAGCTGACTGTTCTGATCAGGATTTAGGGCCGTAATTATTCATAGAAACGCTTCCAGTAACCATTTATGTGCGTGTTGTGATTTGCTGGAATAGTGTTGCCATGTCTTGGAAACGGCGTGGGGAGAGGGATTTGTTAGTCGTCTAGACTGGAACATCTTCTCATTGCGATTCCGGATAAAGCACTGGAAGCAAGACTTCTGCATGCTGAAAGTTTGTGTCAATGTTAAGCAGCTCGTCGTCACTCGTCAAGAAACTGGTCACAGTCACGTTATCAGCGGGATGCATATTTTGTCACGTTATCAACATCTTTGACAACCTCGATACCATCACTCTATAACCATCTGGTAACCATAGAAATTTGGCAGCATGTTATTTCCCACTTTTTATCTATTATACCTTTGTTTCCGTCGTTAGGACATCAGTATTTTTGCGTTTCTCGTTTTAAGCTCAACCTGATCACATGATTGTCTGGTCCAGACTCGATTATTTACATATAGCTGTAATATTGCTTAGTGCGGCGTTAAACAACAATAAATCAATCACCTAACCGCATTTACACATGTCCCAGGGGCGTGTTTAGGGATACAGAGTCAGCTGTTGAGAACAACTAGCTGTCGTGTCGTGGCCTTGTATACCTGAACAGGCCCCTCGACCGCAGTGACGGAGTTAACTATAACTGATACTGTAAGTGAAGAAATGGTATCAGTCCGATGTAATACTTGATATAATCATATAAAAGTGCTGTGTGATTAGGAATGTGGGGTTTGAGGACAAATATTATTAAGCGTCCAGCAAAGTCGCGTTAGAGTTTGAAACTTATGCTACTTGTGATGACAACTTTGCAGTAAGACATTTATTGTGTCTTGACTATGGCTGCCCACCAAACCGCGAAGCCCTTTCTAAACCATAGAGATATATAACCTCGACCTGTTGATGGGATGGTGTCACTGCTGCGTGAAGCTTGTCTATAATTACCACAGTTTCTATTGAAGTGTATTAGTCATAGATGGATCAGCTGTCTAACTGCTCATTTTTTTCCGTTTATCCGAACGTAAATACGGTGTGTGACATTGCGGGTTTAACATTGAAGGTGTTATTGCAGTACATTAAATAAACACAGCATATTACAATGTAATGGGCGGCGGTAGCCTAGTGGTTAAAGAGTGTACTCGTCAGGCTGAAGGCCTCGGTTCGATTTCAACTTTGGGCAGTGTGTGAAGCCCATTTCTGTTGTCGCCCGCCGTACGCGTGATACTGCTGCAGAATTTCTAAATACTCGTAAAGACATCATCATTTGCTTGATAACGGTGTTAGTAGCTACACCGAAACGTCGCTCATATTATATTAAAGAAGTTGTATATCCATAGAACTCTCCTCGTTGTTCATCACACCAACTTCTAAATGCCACTCAAACAAGTTACTCGTAAAGACAGACTTACTCACTACCGAACACATTGCAATGCGTTTACAAAAGGAAATAGGACCATATTTGGGAACGAGCTGACACATTGAACGCGTGCTACGATTCATAATCGGGGGAGGTGTGCGTGCGTGCGTGCGTGCGTGTTTTTCTGGCTAAAACTCCAATGCCCGGTACATCACAGAGGACATGTTATATAGCATGTGATATAGGATATATAGTGCAGTCAGTACATAAAACTGTCAGTACTGAATACTAAGTAAAACAACGTGACTAGTTATGCGAGGGGTTATCGGGGTCACAGGGGCGTGTTAGAAAGACATATAGGTATATAGACCCTTCCCTAGTTCTATATAAAAGGATCCTGTTTCTAAGCGTGACACGCCCCTGTGATCGGGGTCGGTGTTTCAGAGAAAATACTTGACTTCCTTGTCACTTGCATACATGACCGGATATTTCTACGTGACATTTACTGTGTCAAAGTGTTGTTATTGTGTCAAGCAAAGTGAGTGAGTATGGTTTTACGCCACTTTTAGCCATGGGGCCAGGCTGCACGTGCATGTGTGTCTGCGTCATGTGATGCATGTAGCCATTGTGCAATGTTGCATTGCATATTTTGCATCGTGTTGCACGAGTATCAATTGTACCATTTTGCACATGCATGCTTGTGTCATACCGCACGTGTTTCTGATGTGTTATGGTAATATGAATCGCCTACCAACCTAAAAGCGTGTATTCAGTTAGCATAGACAAGGTTTATACAATACACATATCTACGTCATTATTGAGCATTACTTACATTTTAAGTGATATGATTTTGAGAATTGATAAAATGAATGTATATATGCACGTTTTTTCGCGTTTGTGAAGTATTCATTTGTTTTACACAAAAAGTGTTTGCACATATAAACGTATTTGTCAAAACCAGCTGAAGACTCCCATCAAAATCTTATCAAAGATAGTTTTCACGGAAATAGTGTCAAGCACTGAAACACAAACATGGCGGATATGGACTTTGAGAAACTCTAGACTACTACATGATTGTTCTCTGATCTCGTTCGTTGACGTTTCTAAGAACTTTTCGGAAGTTGCGTGAGTCCCACGCCTCCAAACGCCGGCGGCGGGCTTGCACTGTGACGCGCTGACACGATAGCGTTCGCCCTTCCCCCTCGAACTGACCGTATCCTGCGGAAGTCTGGCGAAGTTTGTAGGTTGATGCAAAGCTCAAGCACCAGTAGCGGGAGTAGTAAACAGCAGCGAGTCATGGACGATCTCGGTGAGTAACAACCATTCTTATCTCGCTTCACAGATGTACAAGAGGGACAGGACATGACTGACACCAGAGACATTTTACATATTTCAGTAAAGGTCAAGGGGCAGTGGTGTCCAAACGTAAACATGCCCCTGATAGTTTCGTGATTGACAGATGGGGGGAATCTGTCGTGTGGTGCGAGTGCCAGAAAAGTGTGTCATCCCACTTCATAGCTTAAATTATGACACTGTTATTTCCTCGACTTACATCACTTTGGATACACATTCCTAAGGTGTGGCTAGTCATGCTTGACAGTATGCATCCTATTTCTACATGGGGCAACTCTGAAACTACTGAAGCATGAATATCAGGTGAAATCTTGAACGTGAGATACATCAAGCCTGGCAAGATCTCGATGTTGTAATGAGCTTGCAGCCACATCAATCATGCTTTTATTACACTATGATTGTCACAGTATTGTTTAAGAATTGGATACACACCACTGACTTTATTCTTTGATATGCCATATTGATGCTACACATGACAGCCCTAAACCTTGTGTTAAATAGGCATGTTACATAGTAAACATAGGTTGATACACACGGTTAAGCAGAACTGTGACATTACCTGAACATGGTGAGAGGTGCGTGTATCAGGAAGCTGTCAGAAACATCTATGACTTTATTGGGAGCTTTTACTTATGTTGGCTAGTAATTAGGTGCATTATTCTTGAAGTGTGGGTTTTGAATCCTAGATTGGACACCATCCCCCCAAAGAGTAGAACTGTTACTGAACTGAGAACATGTATTGCAAATATAACCTATTTTACGTAACCAATCTCTAAACAATAAAGGTAAGGTGTTTAATGGATCACAACTTCTATGATAGATTATTGTGATACAACATTTCAGTATAGTTTCTTATGCCTTTACAACACTCTTGCTTGATGTTATCTTTCTTGTTACTCACCAACTTCTAAAATGCCAATCAAACAAGTCTTTCTCTAAACAATACTAAAAATTGTGACTCCTGTTAAGTATACACCAGAAACATATTCAGCATTAAGTAGAATATAAGTTAGAGCTAGTCATGGCCATATTATAAAATATTGCTGATTTAGGGAATCCCTAGATTTAAGTACTTTAGCAGAAAACATCAAGGATGCCAGGTCTTCCGTAATTTTCAACATTGCTAAGGGTTCCTGTGCATGTTATATATCTTCATATATGTTGATTTGTGGAAGTCTTACGTCAGTGTTTCCTACTTCAGACTGTAGGGAGGTGACATACTGATATTACTGATAACATGAAAGTGAACTATTGGAATAGAACCTAATCTGAGACTACAGTCTTTGCTGTTTGTCTCCATGCCCCATGATGGTGAAATGATATGACAATACAATATTGTGCCCCAATACAGGGCCAACATAAAATGTATTGATTTATAACCCAAGCTGTCCTTGTATATCTGTCATTTCTTCTTCTTTCTTCTTCATTAAGGATGAAAGTCAAAGGGTCCTTGTCATAACCTGACGTTAACAGTTGAAAGTAAAGGGATCCCCAAATTTAAATACTACACTAAAGTAGACCTCATGGAATATTGACTATCATTGGGGCAATGCATGAAGAGATGAAAAGTAGAATTTTCCTAAAACAACCTTTTAAACAGGATTATTTAATAACACATTACCCATGTGTTTAATAATTCCAGCAGACTGGAGCCAAAGAACTTTTCTGTTTGCACGACGAGTAGAAAATGATCAAATTATCCAATATAAATAATAACGTGTAAGTATATACTCCATGGCCTGAAAATGTATCTAGAGTCCAGAGCATGAAAGTCAAGAGGTCATCATTTAAGGTCCCTTGAGTCCTCCACTACAGGAGCAAATCTTATGACCCCCCTAATTTTAAAACTGCTTAATACCAAGTTTATGTGGAAACTGTTTCAAGGTGTAATACATTGTCACAGGTCTATAACCTTCTGCTTGTTAAAAAAATGTTCAATCCCTGTCAAGATTTTCCTGAAAGTTCAACATGTTTGGAGTCTGTTATCTTGGAAGAAACTTCAAGATAAATTCGATATGTGTTGCACACAGCTGTTACAGCAATACACTGAAGGCTGACATGTGGATGAGGGCACAGCAACATCGCTGTCTCCACACACGGAGCGGAACGCTGCACCTGTAGCACCCACAGCCGCACGGCTGAAAACTCATCACAAACTCAGCCCGAGAAAATCTCTGACACGAGCTGTGGAGACTAAGACTCTCATCGCACTCTTGCTGTACATGATGTATGCCCTCACACCTCCTCCAGCACAGCCTCATCGTGTAGAGGGGTAGGACCAAGTGGTAAACATGCATCATAAATGTAGGAGCAGCATCACTTTGGGATGTTCTTACACATTAAGATGCCATGCTGCGATGTAACTAAAATCAGCGTTAAATCCACTTCACACCCCACTAAGTCTTGCATAATTCATTAAAGGCTGAACATCACTTCTTTCCTTGAGAAAGACTTATGGGACTCTTTGATTCATGCTCATTTTGAGTCATAACAGTCTGTTCCAACATGTTTACAGTCTACTAGCCAGAACATGATTAAGCATCATTTCAGTTACGTTTTGCGTTAACATGTAGACTAGTATCAGCTGAGCTCACTGGAGCAAAACCAATTTGACAGGAGCTGCTTCAGACTTGTGGCTAAAGTTGAATACTGCATGTGTATCAATCCTCTTAGTATGCTGTGTACTTGTATAAGATATGCAAGTAATGAAACAAACCCATGTGATTTTTATGCTATTTAAGCATATTAAAAGCATGAACATGTTTAAAGTTCAACCTATACATAATTTCCCTTTGTATCCTTTTCATCTGGTGGACCTTACATCTTTTTGGATCTATATTTAGAGACTGAAGGCATGCACCAAGTACGCATGAACTTTACTGCTGTAAATAATCACAAAAGTGCTGTTTTGCGTATTTTTACTGCAATGTGTTTTACTGTTTGGAGCTTGTGTTACACACCTGGGGCAGAACAGTAACAAATTGGGAGTTGCCTGGACTTGCACAAGTCTCTAAACTCTAAGTTAATAGATAATAGATTAAATGATAATTTATAAAAAATTATGAATAGAAAGAACACATTGTCCCTCTAACAGACTGGCATATGTATTGTTTGCTAGTTTAGACTTACCTCTTTAAAGGATAGAATTTCTAACCATCCATTGGTTTAGCATTCAGTTTACCCTTGGAACAATGCTAGGTGTTACCTAAAACAGAATTTTAGGCAGGTTTATTTTTAGAAAATGTCCTCTCATTAAAAACACAACAGACTGGATCCAAAGGAGAGAAAAAATACTGAAGGCTCAAAGAAAATGATGAATACCCAGTGCAAAGGACATGGGAGTAGAACTGTGTTGCAGTAATAAATCTGGAACCCTGTTTTTGTAAACTGAAGCTGAAAATATGTTATGGATTTTCTGATTATTTACACTGGGGGCATAATATATTTTATAGAGTTGGTATTAAGTCATGGCTGAGTGGTCTTCAAAGGCTGTCTGGTAGAATATTCATCGTTCTTGAAAGAGCGGGGAAACTGCTTAATTTCTCTTTTCATGAAGATTTTATGTCAGTTTTATTATCTATCAATCATTAAAACATACCAAGGCGTAATTCCAAAAGCTGGTGAGAGTCTGTTTCTTTTTCAGTACATGTTTAATGTCGACATTATGGCTGTTTATCAGGTCGACCATTTGATTATGTACAGACCTGTTTTTCCCCCCCAGGGAATATATAGCCATTTGAGACCATTTCTAGTAGTTTTTTATCAAAGAAATTCTGCTGTGAAAAACTATATTTATTAGCAGATGTTTGTAAGAGTAATTAAAGCTATAGTGCCCTGCTCAATAAGTGCCCTGAACCATCTGCTGGACCAGTCTGTAAGATCACCTACAGAAGACAAAACACTTATATGGCAATCAGTATTTTCTTGTAGTTGTATATTACAGAATATTTACACGAAACAGCAAAACAGTAAGGGTATATAATTGCCTCAAACCCTTATAGAATTTGTTATAGTTCCATTGTTTACTATCGCTCAATCTTTGAAAACAAATTTAATTTGTTGTTTATGGTTTAAAAATAACCCCCACTTTGTCAGTGTTGAAAGTGCCTGGGGCAAATACTACGGTAAACACAGGACTTGCAATTGCAAGCTTGGACAGGATCTCGGAATTCGAAATGTGGTGTGTGGAATTTGATGTAAGATAAGTTGTGAGTGATCTGGTTCAGACAGGACATGCAGGCCAACACGTTCTCTGCCAGTACCATTGCTAATTCCTCACCATGATGGATTCATTACACCAAGTACCTGATTATCTGGAGCATTAGGACCAAATGTATTGGGCAGGAAAATAGAAAACACAAAGGGTGTGTTTTTTTAGTGGAAGATTCTGCTATCTGTATTTGAGATTTTGCATTAAGATCGTTGGCAGATAAGCATTATAACATGCGAAGGGAATAAAAGTATGCATTTTAAAATTCAGGTCCCTGATTCTAATATCCGGTAGCTTATGAAAGAGATTGTTGACAGACGTGGCAGATAAATGTTTTTGAAGAAGATGAAAATACTGATTATTTGTTCATGAATATCAGTCTTTGATAACTGTTCATTAAGATAAACATTTGGTGGTAGGAAGATAAACAGTAAAAAATATGAATGCTTATTAAATTTGAAGATTCATATGTTCCGACATTTTGACCAAACCCACAGGCACTTTGAGATGGGGGAGACTAGTGTTGGGAATCAGAAACCAAATCCACTATCGATTATCGGAGGATTGTGGTGAACGATTATCGATTATAATTGAAATATATACATTTTTAATGTAATCACCAATTTAAACGTTTTTTCCCCAAATTTTTTTCTTCGAATTAATGTGTTTTTATAACTGACTGACTGACTGAGTTTGGTTTTACGCCGCTTTTAGCAATATTCCAGCTACATCACGGCGGGGGAACA